GTTTATCCCCTCAGTTTATCCCCTCAGTTTATCCCCTCAGTTTATCCCCTCAGTTTTGTACGAAAAATAAACTTTGAACTAACGGGCGTGTATTTTAATCGTGTACCAAAAAAGTATTCGATTTTTGTTTGAACCCAACCTCAGAATAATAAACCAGAGAACATTTGAAAACTCTTATTTATATAATGATGTGGATTATTCAGAAAAGGCTTTTAGTTCCAGAGGAGTGACTAGAAAATAATGTGACAGAAGAGAAAATAAAAGCAAAAGGAGAAAATAATTTCTGACATAGAAAGAATCCAAACAGAGAGAATACGATCAGACTTTGATGATTGGATTTATGGGGCTAAAAACATGAAATGAGGACGAAGTGAAGGAGGAAGGAAAGTTTGTTTCTGCAGGTTCTGCCGTAGGAATCAGTTCTATTGTGATGGATCCATGTCTGCTTTAGCTTGAAACAATGCCAACTATACGGTCAGCTTCTAGGGTTCACAGATCTAAGTTTTATCTGTTGTTTAAATTGTTCTTAGAAGGGCAGAGTGGCTGTATTGTTCTCCTGATAATAGAATATGCTGCTGAAGATTCTCAGTCATCCAGGTCACAGTCATTCCAAAAATCCACTGGACTCTGTTTCCAAGTTGGAAGATGTTTTTCTTCCATCCAGGAAGATTTTTCATTTCAAAATGTCAGAAATAGAGTTTAGTTCAGAAACATCAAAACCATGTTTTTGTTTAGAAAACATGCAAACTGAAACGGAGGAACGGGGGTCGTTTGGCTTCTTAGCCTGCAATGCCCCGTACCTGTCTATGTCTCTGAAAGGAGGGTTGTTAAAGGGAATAGTTGGCCTGGATGAACAGGCGAGGTCTTCTGTTCCCCTGTAGGGTGGAAAAAGCTTCAAAGATGGGAAGCAAAACATCTTCAAACTTGGAAACAAAGTCCAGTGGATTTCTTTTTACTGTTTTGGAACGGCTATGACCTGGATGACTGAGAATGTTCACCAGCATGTTCTATTAAAGGGCAGGCGGCTGTATTGTTCGCTTGCAGCCCTAATGTGGATGTTTGAAACCTTAAACTCACAGTGAGGTTAACACTGCGGCCCTCTGAGACTAAAGCGCTGTGTTAGAAGTCTGACTCTAGAGGTCCCACTGAGACAAGGAACTGCTTCTCCTGCTAAGACCAGAGAAATAATGGATTCTGCTCCAATCAGACCTCTAATAACTGGTTGAAAAATTTAGATTTCCCTCATTTTATATATTAATTTATCCTATTTCCTCAGTATAAAAGTTTTCACATTCAGTTTCACCTGCAAGGCCACACAGTTCCCCTGTGTGAGGGTGTTTGTAGACCAGACATAACTTCTTCCCATAACAAGCCAGATTCTTTCTCAAGGTTTATTCAGAACATATTACTGTTCAACCAAAGTGTCTAATTTGTTTTGACCGACATCTTTCCATTATTGTATGTAAGGCTAACACACTCTGCCCAGGCAGAACAGGGCTGATTACCAAGCAGTACGGGTGGTATGATGAACTGTTCTCTTTGCAAAGATATGAAAATAAAGTGCCAACTGAGTGAAATCCATCCGTCTCCGTTTCTTTAACTGGGGTGAATAGCTGAATACTTTTTTCCAGCTACATAACAGAGGAGAAAATATCTGCATCAGGGAATATCAGGAGATAAAAGAAGCCAAACTCTGACATCAGATGTGTTAAAGGTTGTGCTGGTAAGGAACGAGGGGAAAACGACATGAAGGAATGTTTTTATGAAGATCACGGATTAAACTGGACTTTGGTTTGGGGGGGGAAGTTAACAGAGAAAGCTGGAAGGGAACTGATGCAGGGAGGAAGAGAGTTTAAATGTTTGCTGCAGTGAATCTCTGCCCTCATTTGCTCCTGGAGGCGGATTTAAATGCTGTCGCTAACAAAGCTGCTCTCATTTTTAACAGTTTTATCAGAGGCTAAAGAAATGACAGGTTCCTCTAACTCTCAGGGATTTGCATGAAATGGACTCCAACTTACCGTTGTGAGCCTCTCCAGTGACTGTTCCCTCTCCAGGGGGGTTTCCATCTTGCTCGCGCCACTTCCAGTCAATACCACGAACGACCCGCGCCCCTGGGACGATGTACTTCATGACCTGAGAACGGAAAAGTCTGCGCTGGCGGCGAAGGTTCGCCTCGGCCTCCTTCACAGCTTTACCTGCAGCAGGACAGACAGACGATCAGATCTCTGCTTAACATCCACGTTCTCTCCGCTCCTAGCAGTCAGGACATTAGGGGGGACTTAAAGCCTATTTTCCCTTCATGTTTTAGTTCCTTTGGAGCAGCGGAGAACTGAGACACAGACAATCTTGCCAGGAAGAACCCAGGTTTATTAATACACCTGCAGCTGGAGAGGCAGCAGCTTGAGTGTACGACTGTCGGTGAGCTCTGACTGGTGCAGCCCTGGTCCCTACATTTATAGAGCCTCTTGCACACAAACACCCAAGAAAACCAACTTCACCTCGCCAACATTTCCTGTTATTTTAATACATCTTTAACTAGACAGATGAAATGTTTCACATCAGCTGCCTTCCTTTCATTGTATGGCAGAGGCTGATGGAGCTCTAACCACTTATTTTTCTCCCTCAACCTCCCCTTGAACCCTGTGAGACTGAGAAAAGACACACTTTGATATTCTACTTCCCAATCCCCATCCAACCTGTGAGCGGACTGAGGTAAGGTTCTCACCTAGCTGGTCTTCACAGACGGCTGTGACCGTGCCGTACAGCTCCAGCCCAGACAGAGATAGGTAGTGAGTCTGACCGCTCGCATTCTTCCCCATCTGTTTGATTCTAATATGCCTCCAGCCCTGCTTCTCATCTTTGGACGGGTCCAGAGGCCACGTGGCTGTTGACCTGTGGGGAAGCAGACCTTTAGTCTTCAGCAGGAAAAAATTTTACTTCCTAAAACATCGGAGTTGGAGCGTAAGCTGTACCCCGGCTCATTGAGGCTGCCGTCGTCTATGTGTGTGTAGAGAGTGGACCAGTTCTGACCATCCTTTGAGACCTGAAAAACCCAGTTCCTCAGCGCTGAGCGACCGTAACCTCTGCAGAGGGAGGAAGGAAGGTACAAAAAGTAACCGGTTTTGTTGGCACAGTTTTAAAGATTACTTCTTAGAAAACACTGCAGGCCTCTGGGGTTTCTGACCTGGCGTGTCTCAGAGTGTACGCTGATGGGATGACCCACAGGCCGAGGTCAATAGCAAACCAGGCGTTCTTGTCATCGTTGGTGTGGCAGTTGAGAGCGGAGCTATCCCGACTGAGGATGTCCTCCAGACGCCCATAAGGGAGGTTCCGCCCCTCTGAGGACGTCACCACCACCAGGCCGTAGGCGGCAGGATTGACCCATTCATACGCCGTCCTGAGGGCGACAAAGATTGGAAACATTGCTGAGGGTTAGAGCTCCTGCTAAGAGCGAAGCAAAGCATGACACACCCACACAGCTGCATTCAGCTTCCTTTGGCGAGGAGTTAGTCGGCTAGAGATCTTCAACAATCAGTCTTTCTGTTACAAACACCTGCTTGGTGCGCCAGCTGTACGCCTCCTAGTGGTGGCTGTTCAATATTTTTATCCTTTGACAGATTTAAGGAAAAGCAGCAGCCTAGCACTGGAGCTGCAAGTAACGATTATTTTGCAAATCGATTAATGCGTTGATTACTTTTTTACAATTAATGGATTAATAATCGGATTGTCAAAAGGTTCCTTATTGAAGATTTTTTATAAAATCAAACCAGGTGAAACAAAAACTTTTCCACTTCAGGTGTTCTGGATAGAGCAGGTTGACAGATGAAAAATCCTTTTTTTATTTTCATCTTAAATGCTAAATGTTTATATATTTTTCTACAGTTTTGATATAATTACTGGTCTAAGTGGGTCGCTCCGTCAGCTACAGGCGTATTTTATACTCCAGTTTACGATTACAGATCTGTCTGGAGCTGCAATAACTTAACCTGAGGGCTCCAAGTATAAATCAGCTAAATAGGCTTAAATACACAATAATCCTTCATGATTGAATGTTTATTTTCCCTGCAGCGCATCCTGAGAAAATGACACCATGTGATCAATCTACAGTACGATGTTTGGTGCTTGGAAGTTAAACTTAAAGAGGATGGTCTTTTATTTCCGGGTGGATCATCTAGATCAATGGTCCTCTAACTGTAATTCATTCTGGTGAGAAGTATATCCATGGTGAGCTACGCTTTCAGACGGTCATTGAAGCTCACCTTTCTCACCACTGTTCTTTGAAAATGGCCGACGGTCGGAAGAGAGAAAGTGTCTACGAAATGTATGAGAAGAAAAGAAAGGCCTCAGAAGAGGCAGATATATCCCAGAATGCTTTGCACCGAGAGCACTCCTCGCAAAGCATGATGGGATTTGCTTTCAGAGTGGCCCGCACAGATGGCACACCGCGCTATGGAGGAGGAGCTACGTGACCAACGATCAGTTAATCTATGAGAACAGCACAAGAGAGGGCAGGTCTTTTAAATAATAAACAATACCTTTAATGAATTACGATTTTTATCATCAATGGAATTATTAGAAATACAATAAAGAAATCGGAATTTTGTTTTATTTCTATTTTGAGGATTTGAAATAGATAAAAAATAAAAAAATTGGAATATGCATAATAACTCCTGTAATTTCAAAATGCAATCCTCTTCAAACCTCAGTAACAAAACATTCCTCTTTTCCCCCCATTGGGGCAACAGGGCAATAAAACGCAGCAGCAATGTTTTGATGAGCCAACCAGGCTATGGAAACAAAAATAAGCTGATCAGATTTAATAACAGTGCGCCCACCGCTTTGTTTACAACAGCCACCTGCCTGGCACTGTGCTGCCCTGAAAAATGTCTCGCAGGCAATGATACAACTCTTTGTTTATAGCAACGTTAAAATTTATTGCTTAAAATTTGTTTTATTATACAAATTTTGTACAGCATTGGAAACAACTAATGTTTGTTAGTCCTTCTTCACACTATATTAAAACAAACAAAAATCCATCTTTTTCCTTTTTCATACGTTTTCAAAAAGCTGCGGGTTTCCAACTAGCAACCAAACAGAAAAAGGCTGAGGAAGAACTGCTGTTTTTCCCCACAATTCTCTCTTTAAAGAGCAAATCATCTAACAGGCTTGTTTCCTGTGTAAATAAAGGCATTCAGGGCATCAGCTGATCTAAAAAAGTGCAGCCATCCAAATATTTGAACTTGTTTGCGGTAGTGATTAAGGCCCAGCCTGACGCATCAGACGGCGCTTAACTCTTCAGATGAATCAGTCACACTGTGTGAATGATACTGATGGGAAGAGAGAGGACGACCACACTGCAAACTTTTCTTATTCAGAGCTGAAAACTGTTGGCAAGACGTTTGTGGAGAGCAGAGCTAACTGCTGCTAGTGGACTTACTTTGCATTTGTTCCGACCCAGTAGATGATGCCGTTCTCATCAAAGTCATGCTGATGTCTGAAGGTAAAGGTCTGCCCTTCCCTCAGCTTCCTCACAAAAACAAACGACGAGCGCTCAAAGTCGTACCACTGCTTCGCCACCTGGACAACCAAAGAGGGTTAGGAGTCGATAACAAAGCCTGCCCACTGCTCAGAAAACGTCTGGAGAGTGACGTCACCATTTTTAGAAGGTACTGCTCCAGAGACTCCACGGTGGCCAGCGGCTCCATCTTCAGCATGCGACCCGTGCGGTCGATCAGAGCCGTCTCCCCTGGTGCTCGTTCCAGACGGAAACGCAGCCTCCTTGTCAGGATCTGACAGAAATCACACATGAGGAGCTGTGGATGGACCCGACTGACTACAACCAGAACAGAAGGCAGAACGACTCACCTGCAGGTTATAGGAGGAGCCTGGAGAGTCGTAAAGGTAAAGAGGTAGACGCTCGATGGACTCCAGGACAGCTATCAGCTTTCTGATTAAGGCAACTGCTGGTCGGCTGCAGACACATTCAGAGGATTAATGATCAAGTAGTCAGAGGTAAATCGCTCCTTAAACTACAGCAATTCAAACCATATAAAATCAGCAGGTAAAGCATGTTTTCCAAACTTGGGTCGACCAGCTAACATTCATTACGTTCCCTTCCCAACCCCTCGCTTGCAGCTGCATGTCTGGTGACATCAACATGCTGTGTTAGGGTTGCCGAAATCACCAGTGTGACAGAAATCAGGAAAGTAAACAACGGAGAGCAACATATCAGGAAGCCAGGGTGTAGTCAGTGTGCTTTATTGTTTCTCTCTATTATCCGTCTGAATCCGTCTCACCAGAGCTGCTCCATGTTTATCCAATGGAAACAGTCAGTTCTGCTCATTCGATCAGAAGCGACCGGCGCGGCGTGTTGACGTCTCTATGTTAGGTTCAATGGTAGCACGTAAATTAGCGAATCAACCCATCTCTGGTGTTCAGCACGCCGATCAGAGCCGAGGCGATTTATTAACGCAGGTCATTTGTCCACTGTTCCCACATTTAAACCATTTTCCCCCAGTGTGAAAAGGGAACAAGTCATTCATTAGTTTATTAAAAATTTCTGATTCTTAGTTCCCATCCTGAAAGCACTGCTTTTCTATAGCTGGTAAAATAATGTCCCCATTTATACCCAAACAGTTTGTCACATTTAATCTGATTAATATATAATCAGAAAATATGACTGGGGGAGTCATTGCTAACAGCTAACAGACAGACCTCAGCCCTCAGAAGCAGCTAATCTCTAAAACTACTCATCATTTCACTCCATATAAGGGATGAACAAATTTAACAAAAATATAAATTGCGATTATTAAAAAAAAAAAAATTGTGATTGCATCTTTATTTAGCACTAAACAGAAGCTTATAGATGTTTCACCCAAGCTTTCAGTTTCTGTTACAGGACTTTTCTGTAGCAACTGTTAAGCTCTACATGTATTCATGGATCTGCCGCCAGCTGAAAGTCTCTCTACCTTTCTGTGTGGCAACAAGCCCAAAGCGTTTAATCACCACCTAAAGGGCTGGAGGGAGAAATTTACTGACTAAGCCTAGTTAATTATAGGGTGATTAAATGTGTGTTAAATTGCAATTATATTGCAAGCAGAATTAATTGCTCAGCCCTATTCCATATTAACTGAATCAAATGTTTTCCTTTGCAGATTTAAAGTTCAACAATTTTAACTTGTATATCATCAGTATCTTCAACATTTTAAAACACAAACCAGCAAACTTTTCTAGTACCAAGTGAAACGGTATATAAAGTTGAACCAAAGTGGCTCCATTCACCTTTCGTTATCTTCATTCTCACTGAAAGCCGCCTTAAAGACGTTGATCCTCTCCAATAAAGGCTTACAATCAAGTTTCACGTCCAGCTCTGCACTCTGCATGAAACACACAACAGCTTCAAGTTATCATGTCAACATCTGGAAAATTCTCCTGTAGAAAACGGCTTATGGTTAAAAAAGAAATAGGAAGGCAACCAGGATTAAACTTTAAAAAAAAAATAAAACCTTTAAAGCAAAGATGCAAGCTTAACAAGTTAGTCTAAAGTTGACTGATCTTATTAATCTGTTAATGATTCATTGATAAGCGGAAATTTTCCTGAAAACATTATATTTCCGCAACATGTTGTTCCAGCTGTATTAGATACTGATGGAAACAACAAAAACCTTTTCTTACACATTTGTATAGGAAAAGTCCAGCCACACCGAGAATTTAAACATCTGAAAGTACTTTAAATATGAAATTATTTCATACTGTTCAATAAATTCTCTGGCCAGAAGTTTGATGGTAAATCCTCCCTCTTCAAGTAGCCGATCCAACAATGAACGCAGTGAAATATGTTTAGGTATAAATAATAATCCATTGATTATTCCTGCTGACCAGACTTTTCCTTTAAAATGTTACTGAATAAAAGAAAACTGTCTAAAAAATGTAAAAGATGTGATTTCCAATGAACGGATGTGAAACTGATTAAAAGCAGGAGATGTCAGTCTGACAGCTTTCCTTCATACTCACATTACTGAGAACAGTGAACAGAGCCTGGACCAGGCCACTGCTGCACATTTCATACGGAGAAATGGTGTTTTCATCCTTCAGCACCACAATCAGGTTCTCCAGAGCAGTTTTCATCAGATCCCTCCATGAGTTCTCACTTTCCAGGCACTGCCAGAGCAAACAAACCAACGCAGGTTAGTCCCCATGATCTGGAATCCGCTCTAGAGGTTTGAGCCCCCGGCACTCGGCGGCGTACCTGTCTGTTGACGTGCAGCTCCCAGGCAGACTCCAGCTGCGTGGCGATGTTCCTCAGAGTGACCACCACCCCTCGAGGCATGCTCTCTACGGCTTTGAAGTGGTCGTCATACAGCTCCCTCGCCATGCTCTTCACCTTCTGCTTCGTCTTCTCCAGTTTGGACTTCAGCTTCCTTCCCCGCTTCCCAGTCCAGCCAGTAACAAACTCAGAGCCTGCACACATTAACCCAAGGGTTAAAGGCGGCTCTGGCTCAGGCTAATGCTAATGCTACATTCAGACTGAGCGCGTCTGGGCGTCAAAACGTCGGATTTACAAGCAAAGTCTATGGGGGGGCAGCCTCAGGAACATCAGAGTGTTTGATTCTGATTGGTAGACGCTTCGGCGTCCATCACTTCAGTGTCAGAGACAGAGAGCGAGCTCTGATCATTATTGCTGCACTAGAATATTTTTTTATAAACTATGGAGAAACAGTTTATAAAACCCAAATTAACTAGAAATGTTAAAACATGACTAAAGGGATACACACCCATTGAGGTAGTTTAAAGTTGTTGTTTTTTAAACAAAACTAAAGGGATAAACTGGTATTGAATATGGGTATGCTGGTCTGACAGGATCTGCTCATCTGAACACCAGTGGTATGCTGGAGGTCTGGCGCTCCGAACCAGAACTGCATATTTCAGTGGGATTATAAACTGATGAACTGAACTGATGAACAGAGGATATTTTCAGATGGACTTTCTCAATTAAAAATGTGTTAAAACATAAGACAGAAATCAGGTGGGATCCTAACCTGACTCCGCCAGATGGAATTGCTGGATTTGCTCCGCATATCCATCTGGAAACCTTCCATTGAAGTAATTTTGGGAAGGGGCGAAAATACTGGTTAGCTGATTGGCCTATGTTGGTGATAGACGGGCCAAATAAACCAATCAGATCAACGAAGCATATGACGTACTAACAGAGCGATGACGAAAACACAACCACCAGCCAGGCTACTCTTGCTGAAACCAGTCGGGAGAAGAGCAAAAACATCTTTTCCTCTGAGAAAAGCCTCCAGAGCAGTGTTTTGCTCTTCTTTCAGTGAAGAAATACTCTGTAATTCCCATAAAACTTGCTCGATAGCCACGCTAACGCTAGTCTCATCGGCTGAAGCCGCCATGTTCTTTAGACTAAACTGTTGCGCTTCTCGTTGCGTCACACCTCAATTAAGAATAAACTTCCAACCAAGTATATAAAAGAAAAGTGGGAATCAGAGTTTAACAGGAAAATGTCAGATGAAGACTGGTTAGATATGTGGAAAACGTCAGAAATCCACCAATTCACGGATACGGAGGAGTTGATCAATGAATGCCGACCATCCACCATTCACATATATTAAGTTGAATGTGAATTGCTCATCTGTACTGTATATGTAAAAAAAGTGAAAAATTATGTTTAAACTATTTTTCCAACTCAAAGTAAACAAAGCTAAGCTGCTGTCTAGCTTGAAGCTACAGAACAGAGCAGATAAACATCCATAGCGCCGAAGCTTCAAAGTAACTTAACGGTCTGACCAGCGTCCAGATTCTGTTTTGATGCGTTTTTGACGCCCCTAATGCCTTTGGTGTGAACGCAGCCTAAGAACCAGCGGTCTATTTGCTACCATCACCACAGACTGAGGTTCCTGGACCCCGATCGGCCCAGACGCCTTTTCTCTCCATCTTTTAGCTGTGAACACTGACCCCTGAATGTTGACCCACCCAGAGACGTCTCTGCAGTGAACGAGTGTTTGGTTCCTCTGTTGGACTCGAACACGAAGCCAGGAAGGTCCTCCTTCAGGATAGTAGCCTGCTGTCCATCCGAGTTATGGATGGCGATTTCTCCTTCTTTCAGGCAAGTTAGAGACCAGTTCCCAACCGTCAGCTTAGTGGGACCGACGACGGAGAGGATGGGCTGGCTGGCTGTTACAGGTTTGACCTGACTCCTGGCCCGTTGGAGCTTCTCCAAGAACTCGCTTCGAGACTCTGCAGGATGTGGGACAGGAGCAAGTCAGCGAAGCACAAAACACAGGAGATACTGAGTGGAATAAAAGCATGTCCGACATACCAGAGCTGTCAGAACCCCCCTCTGGGCTCCCACTGGAGTACATGGTGGCCAGCTTCCCATCCAGAATAAATCGGAACCAGCCATTGGAACCATTGGAGAGCTCCAGGGCAGCGGCGTCTGACCAGATGTAGAGACAGTCTCTGCCCCGAATGATGGACCAGTCCCTCCAGTGGTACGGCTTCCCCTGCTGGACTTCCTTGGCATCTTCCTGAACCTCGTCCTCCTGCAGGAAAACCTGGGGGTTATTCTTAAGGTCTAAGGAGTTTCAGTCAAAGTTTAATCAGTCAGCACTTTTCAACAAACCAGATGGCGCATCTGAAGAAATAGTGAAGAAAAGTTTTAATGTTTGAACAATTAATACCCGTCAACTGGAAATCGATAAATCTGCTGATAATGTTTTCAATCAATCGATTAATAAACTGGATAGAAAAAAGTTCCTTAAAGACGACGTTTTCCACTAGAGGAGTTCTGGATAGAGCAGATTGACAAAACATTTTCTCTTGTCTTAGTAGAAAAAGGTTTATGCTTTTTACCAATTTGGCATAATTCCTGCTCTAAGTGGGTCGCTCTATCAGCTAAAAGGAACGTTTTAGTCTCTATACTTCAGTTAACAATCCATGACTGAATTAGTGGATGATTATTTCAATAATCCATTAATCTGATTAATTGTTTCTGCTCTTGAAATAAAATAGAAAGGTTTTCTTATATGAATGGGTTGATTGTCTGAGCTGCTCAGGTCCAGGTTAACAGCTTATATTTCCACTGTAGTTGTGTAATGCTGTGGTATTTACAGGCTAACCTGACTGAAACTTTCACAATATAAAGAGAGACGTTGTTCCAACTGCGATGCTTTGACTAATTTCCCTTTTTCCTCATTGAGGGAACACACAGCACAATGCTGGCAGAACATTGGTTGTTGGTCTAAACCAACCAGAATGAGTGTTGCTTTATAAAGTTAGCGCAGCTAGCATCCGGACTTATCAGCTACTTCCTGCTTTTCCTGGTTATCTGACTCAAAGGAAAAACATTCAAGCATCAGATCGATTCAGATTCTCAGCACTGATGGTTCAGTAGAGGAGCTGAGGTGCTACTGTGTGAAGCCAACCGCTGGAGGAGGTGAAACTGTCTACTTTTAAGGCTAAGCTTAAAACTTTCCTTTTTGATAAAGCTTCTAGTTAGAGTGGCTCAGGTTATCCTGAACTATCTCTATAGTTCTGCTGCTATAGGCTTAGACTGCTGGAGGACATAGGGACCCCTTTTTCATCATTCTGCTTCATTCTATCTCTATTCTCCAACTCTGCAGAATCTATTGGTTCAATCTCTAACGTTATGCTCTCTCTGCTTTTTCTCGTCATAGTAGTATCATTTGGTATTTTCCTGTTTGGCTGTGACTCCATTCTGGAGAAGAAACTCTGGTGTCCTGCTGCCATCAACACCCTTGTTTATGGAT